TTCCAGCTTCAGCCTGGGAAGATCACCTCAGATCATCGTATACGCAGGAGGAACCACTTTATCCAAAGAGGGGATTAGAATATCAAGTTCACTTACTTCCCTGGTGGCCCCCAGTCTCAGGCTCCAAGAACATAAACCTGGTAAAACAGCTGAAATCGAATAAAGCTCCAGGATATGATCGAATCTCAGCGGAGGTCATTCGTAATAATCTAGACTGGTGGGCACCCATCCTGGCGTCCCTATTCACCTTTATTGTTAACTATACTAAGATCCCTGATTATTGGGGCCGAGCTCTGGTGATTCCAATCTCCAAAAAGGGAGGCAGATATTTACCTGCCAAGTATCGGCCCATCAGTCTGGAGCTCGCTCAACCCTTTAGGCAGCGTTTATTGATTTAAGATTCACTTTTGATCTCATTGCCAGAGCCAAACTGTGGGAAAAACTGAACTCTTCCTCGATGGATAGAAGATTACTGTTTCTGGAGCTCGCTCAACCCTTTAGGCAGCGTTTATTGATTTAAGATTCACTTTTGATCTCATTGCCAGAGCCAAACTGTGGGAAAAACTGAACTCTTCCTCGATGGATAGAAGATTACTGTTTCTGGAGCTCGCTCAACCCTTTAGGCAGCGTTTATTGATTTAAGATTCACTTTTGATCTCATTGCCAGAGCCAAACTGTGGGAAAAACTGAACTCTTCCTCGATGGATAGAAGATTACTGTTTCTTAAATATAAGCTTTATGAAAACTCTTGGATGAATGTGTGGTGTAATATGTATGGACATTCCACCAAGGAAATTCCAGTCGAGAGAGGAGCAAGACAAGGGTGTATCCTAGCTCCCCTTCTCTTTAATTTATACGTTAATTCTTGTAATACTTGTAGACAAACTGAATAGCCCACCTCTGCACCCCCCAAAACTGGGAAACAGACACATCTCTGTTCTTCTATATGCAGATGATGCCGTGGTGCTTTCTCGGACACAGATTGGCCTGAAGAGGGCACTCCGTACGCTTGATGAGCATTGCCAAGAAGATTGGCTAGAAATTAATTACTCGAAAGCCAAGATTATGGTTTTTGCCAAGCGCCCTAAGATACATATCTGGCGGTTAAGCAATCATCTAATAGAGCAAGTCAAGATTTTTAAATGCCTG